TTAGCAACAAAAGAAAAATAACCAAAAAGGCGCCTGTTGCCAATCCCCTGGAGGGCGCCTGTTGCTCGATCTGCTCCCGTTGCCGCACCGCCTCCTTGGCACTCTTCTCCTGTGCCGCCAAAAGCGCCAAGCGACGCCTCAGAAAACACGCCCAGCGAGGCTCCAAGGGGTCCTATACGGTGGAGACTTTCCCCAAAAGGACCCTATAATCTATCCGTGACTATCCCATTTGTACCCCAGGTGACGGGTCCTAGTTCAGGTCACTTGACCTACCCTGCTGTTGAGCTGGGTATGGCGAGCTGCACGGTGTTTGGCGTCGAACCTTTAGAGAAGGATGAGTAGATGGAGACCCAAATCTACGGCCACAGCCAGCTGAGGAAGGAAGCTCACTTGGTACATAGTGTGGACTCGTGATTGATAACCCCACGCATTTGCTATTTGAAGTGTAATTAAAACCTCTTCATCAGGAGGGCTTGACATCAAAAGTAAGTATACATGATCATGCCACTCTCAATCTTTCTCCCTAGTCACACTATACTCTATGCCACACTCAGATCGTTGGCTTCCATTCAATGATCATGACCCGGAACGGGAGGTCCGAACGGTACCGGGGGTAGGAACTACAAATGAGCCTCTCCGCGTCCACGCATGTCGTCTGCGGAAACGATCTGTCTAGAAACCGGAGCTCGCATGAGCTCGCAGTCTCCCCAAAGACCCAAAGATTTTGTGGGGAGACTTAAGGAGACTGAGACCATGTTGTCATATTGGAGCTGTCAATGCGGAGGCTTCCCCTCCCGTCGCTGCCGCGCTGTTCTACCACCTTGTAACTAAGCAAATGTTCATGGGTGAAGTCCACGATCTCCGGTCTCATCTGGCGCACCAAACGTCCATCCCAGCAAAAGGACCCTTCAAAGCAGATGTTGACCCCATGGGCCCCTTCAAACAAATTGACCGATACCAGGTGGCTCAAGTTCAAGTTCGCTCTTGCGCTGGCAGTGTGAGATCGTGGCACTGACCTCACACGTTGCGCACTGGACTGCTGACCCACACGTGGCGCACGGCCGGTCTGCTGGGCAATGTTCATCCACACTCGACCCAAGCGAGATGATCCAAGAAGGCTTTGGGAATGATTTAGCCGGTGTTTAACGCAACAATCAAGGCTCCCGCGCATGTTGATCGTGTTGATATGCTGATGTACCATCAAATGCAATTCGTAGTCGACAAATCAACAATAAACACAGTAGTCCAAACATCTCATCTTATGTCATGACAAATGAGTGGCATCGTGAAGAATCTTATATATGTCACATTAGCTTAAAAAATATATCAAATTGTATGTTATATATATATATATTAAATTATATATAATTATGCTTCCATGGCTCCATTGGAACTCACGCAATGTCATTGTGCCAAAGGCGGTCCTAATAGACGTGAATTTGCCTGAACCCACTAATAATCATAGGATATCCTGTAAGTCTTGGGGTCTATGTCATTCTATGTCCAAAACCTGGAAAGTCAATAGTCAAAGATGTTTGTGGGAAACATCTCATCAATCCATCCCGTTAACGAAACCTGAAGCAGTGCTCAAAGTAACTCCTTCAGTGTCACTGGAAAATATAGCGGATATGCCTTTCTCTGTCCTTGTTTCGTGGGGACACCACTCCCACAAAAGGTTTTGCAGGTTATCCTCTGACTGGGTACGACTTGGAGCGTTCAATGGTCCAACCCAACGTCGACGGTGCTTGCCCAGGTGCTCGCTCCTCTCTCGCCTTCACGCGAGTCAGCAGCTCAGAGCGCTCTTCTTGCATGTGCTGCCTGCGAACGAAGGAGGATGAACTCCATTAAGAGTTTCAAACCCGCGCTTCAAGAAGCACTATTTAGTTAGAGTATCAATCTCGCCTATATAATAAACTTGGACAAAAAACGTCACAACCTAAAGACATGGTACCTCCCACGTGGCAGGCTCCTCCTACTGCAACCCCCATGATCTGCCAGAATATGCTGACTTCCTATGCTTTTGGTTATGACTTCCTCCTCCTCGTCGCGAGGACTCGCCGCAGTCAGTCGGCGCTCCACCTGCAGCTCTTGAGAAGACGTTGCTGTTCGCAGTCGAAGCTCTCCTGTTCGCTGCGCCGGTACCAAATCGGGACATCGTGCTGCGCACAAATAGGATCTCATGGGCCGGGCCAGCACCGTATCGGAACCATTTGTAAACAGATTAATAAGTGCTCGATGTACTGGTTTTGGTACGTTTTGGTACCTTCCAAGTTCCTAAATACTCTGAATAGAATAATCATGAATAATCCACGCATTGCTCATGCAGCAGGACTTCAGGTTCACCCTGCAAAAAGCCAGGCTGTTTGGCCACAGTCAGCGGCGTCTATCAAGTACCTCCAGCATCCAAGCCTGCTGGAGGCCCACTGACCCTATCTGAAGAATACAACTGATTACACTCCCTGGAAACATCATGGAAGTGGCAACCCCCCTTCTTGTAGAGGAAACTGGTGATCCAAGGGGCCATGCCATCCACTAGGCAGTCATCATGGTTAACGATGATCCTGTGTTGCCTTCCGACCTAGTCCGATCGAGCTACGTTCGGACGGTGCAGTACCTCCAGTCCGTTCGGCTCTGAAAAATAAGAAAAACTCTCTTAGCCAGACTGGAGAAGTTCAGCCTTGGACTGGTTCATTCGCCAAGGTCAACAATAAGGCTCTTAGCAGTCTTAGCATCTCATGTTAATGTTAACTATTGTTGACGGGTAGCTCGTTCCAAAAAACCGTCGCTGCGGTGAAGTCATTCACCGATGGGCGGAGCAGCCGGCAACCCACGTTGGCCGAGGGGCCGCTCTGTGGTGCCTCGTATGCGAATGTCTCGTCACATTCCTTCGTTCACCAGTGGTTTCAAAGGTTCGATGGCGCAAGCCCCAAAGATGTCTTGTGGGGGGGGTGGTTAACGTGCCATTTCGAATCTCTAAAACCACTGCAGAACCCACCTCCTTACGCTCTGAGGTTCCAGTTGTTCTGGTGTTTTTAGGGAACCCATCTGTTCTCCGGCACATCTACATGCTCCTCACCCGCTGGGTTCCAAGAAACCGGCGATTCTCGCTGCGGGCCCCCCGGCGGTGACCGCGCGGACCCGGTCCTTTGGGTTCGGGCTTGTGCCAGCTGCATACGCTCGCTCAAAGTGGTCATGTCACGGAAAAAACGTGTTTATACAATTATATATATAGGGACCCCGTGGTTTGTACGTTATTGAATGGTTTTACACATGTTATATAGATGAAGCATGGCTAACATCAAGTTGAACATGTGCAATGCAAAGCACACATAACATCGTGGCACACATCACCCGTCAGACCGTCATGCTCCTCCAGCTTGGCTTTGGTCTCCTTCAGCTCCGCCTCCTTCTCCACGGCCGTGGACCACAGCTGCTCTGCTGCAGCCTCCGCCGGAACGGCGTTCAGGTCAGAAATGGGAAAACACCACCACTGGCAGAGCAGCTTGACCATGCTTGACCTGTGCATCAAGAAGTCCTGTGTGATCGGAAAGAGGTAGAAGAGGAACCCTTCAACTTGGGTACAAACTATGTGTCATCACGTCCAGTTTGCTACAACTGCTCAGGGAACCCCTCGGCCGCTATAGCGGTCGCTGGATGTTTGGGAGTGCATTGGATGACCGTCGGGATGACCGTCGGATGACCTGCACGGATGACCTGGCGCTTGATGACCTCCACTCGGTCGATCCGATGAGGCCGGTGTGGTTCTCGAAGGGCAGTGAACAAATGTACCTAGCCTTCGCCGCAAAACAAGGAGTGTTTGCTCAAGGCTCAGGGTTAAAGAAACGTGTTGAACATATTAAGCCAATGGTGGTAGGAGTCCCGGGGCTGTGTTAAATTGTCCATTTGCGTTCGGCCGGAATGGCAACTCCGGCAAACTCCTGTTTCCTTCTCTTCTTGTGAGACTCCTTTGGTTATATATATATGGTTTCGTCTGCGTCAAAGGTGTTCTATTATCGTTACGCTTGTTTTCAGTTTTTGGTGGACACCAACTGTCTACCATTGGAATCTCATCCGATGGTGTCCGTGCCAAAAGCCCGACCAACCGATGGTGTCTGTGAACGGATTCTGACCTTAGAGGCACGTGCCCCGGGCGCCCATTACAACAAACCAAAGGTGTTACACATAATGTAGGCTCTTGATCAATATATATTTATATAACTATATGCTCCCCTCCTACTTGGATTGTAAAGCCTCTTCACATGGAGGGCTTTATAAATAGAGAATCTACCTCTACATTGATGGTGCGCAAGTGACATGTCCAAAAGAAGTTGAATGTCGACATGATGATAAATTGTTGCTACTATGAAGCACGCATGGTGTCACACAGTGGTAACTGTCCATGTATTTCCTAGGTCCTAGGATGCTTGCCATTCTCATTCTGGGAAAAGCTGCAGCTGACCAATGTGCATACGATGATGCTTTTGTCCGCGTTATCCCGTTCAAGGCAAAATAAACTGTGCTGCGCAAAGGGGTTCGCACTGATTACTGCAGGGTTGGAAACCAGGAACTCTTGTCTCTGATTTCACATCTGCATTCTTCCATGAAACATTCGGAATACCTCACTTCCGCGCCAAGTCTGGCTGCGTCCTCTACCAGTCGCTGAGCTACTTGCAGCTACTGGCGGCCAGTAGCTGAGCCACTGGTAGAGGATGGCGCAGTATGCCTTGATAGGGCTCCTGACATCATACAGAAAGCTCATGAACTTTGACTGACCCGTCGATAGCCATGGCGATGACTGATGGAAATTAACAGAGGCTCACTCAGCCAACTACAGCTACAGCTGCATGGGAGTGGAAAGAGCTGAACTATACCAAGGTAAAACCAACACTTTCCAACATAGAAATACATAGGAGCAACTGACTATATAGTGACCCAAGCATGAGGAGGTGTTTGATGGCTTTTCTGGAGCCTGCGTAGTGAGCTCAGCATGGTAGTGAACCCCCCAATAAAAAAAACGCTTGCATGTTTAAAGATTGAAGACCAATCAAAATTACGTTTCTATCTATCTTGGGATCCCCCTATTATCCTTAAATATCATTAGACCAGTGGACGACTGGATGCTGGTCAACCAGCACCCAGCGGCAGCTCGGACCACTGGGTGCTGACTCGGGGCTCGGTCTGGAAGGTTGGAAGACTGCTTTGGAGTGTCTGAAGCTGGACATCCAAGTTGGTTTTGACAACCAGTTGCGCTGGATTCACCCAAAGGACCATGAATAGAACACCGTCCGTATGTTTGTTCATTCAAGCAAACCAAAGCATCTCCTCCAGAAACCAGCCAGGCTGGCTGGCTAGGCCGGTAATGATTTCATTATCATGCAGTATCTATAATGCATTGTAATTAACCTGAGAAAAAAAAAACAAGGGTTTACATGTAAGCCTGCGCGAGCTGCACTCCGTTCTGCGAGCTGCACAAGCAACGGCACGTTTTTCTCACTTAGCTGCCACCCTCCATCTTATCAGCCTCATCGCCCTGGATCGCGATCATGGGGGAAGCGTACCTTTAGTGACCCGGGATGCGGTGTGACCCGTTGATCCAAAGACGGAACCATGGACCCGGCGAGCTTGGAGAGTGTTGGGTACATATTACATATAACTATACCTGGACCCTCCAGTCTGGGTGTCCTGGCTGGACTACCCTACACTCCTTAGAAATCTCCATTGGAAACCCCTTTGAAGGTGCTGGTCATCTCATGTGTTTTCATGTTTCTTTTTAAATGGTATCCCCCATGTAGAGCCCCCCTCACAGACCGACCTACTGTAAGATGTCATTGATATGCGACTTTCTCGACTCCCGTCGGGAGTAGCCGCGAACCCGAAGCCGCATCCACCCGAGGAACCGCCTGCTTTGGGGTTGGCCGACTTGGGTGAAGCCTCGTTTTGGGGTGTGAAAACAGGGGAGTCCTGTGCTAGAAGAATCTGAGTCAATGAACATCCGGTGAGTTTGCGTGGCGAAGACATGGTATATTGTTCACCAAGAAGATACAATCTAGACCAAAAAAATGAAACCTTCTCCTGCAAAAAAAAACTACATCTATATATATATAATATATACGGAACATAGCTCATACATGTTCACAGTGGAGTATGATTCACACACCACTCACCTATATTAAGGGTCAAGACAACTAGAAGCCCTGGATCTTGATATATCTTGAGTGTTCCAGAAGAAAAAACACATCACACACCATAATCTCCGCCAACATGAAAACCACATCATCTGCAAAAAAACATGCCAGCACCACAAGAAAAGACTGGTAACTAAGTATGCATATATATTAATCTATGCACGTTCCTTTCCAACAAGGTGCTGGTGAAAAAGAATACATGCCACCACCATGGAAAGGGTGGTGACTATGCATCACTATTCAGCATTCCTGTCCAACAAGGTGGCTGGGTGAGGAAAACCCACATTAAATACATGGTGGTTGATCAAAATTCCTTCTTGAAGAGGCTCTCAGTGACATAGGCCCTTAGGCCTTATGTCGACCGCAAAAAAATCGACTGCCACATGTGTTCAACCTTCCGAACCTTCGCCGAGGAGCCAGTAGGATCCGGTGAACTTCCCCCGCGCCTTGTCGATGTGCGGCCGGACTCGATTCCCCCAGTGGTGCATGCCGTCCATGACGCCGTCCGCGGGCACGCGCACGGGTGTAGCTGCTTGGGTCAACGTAAAGGCGCCCTGCAAACCTCGCGGATGCAACGGCGGCTTAACCGGATGGAGATGTCCTGATAACCCTCTATGATTCTCCGGAAAAATCATAGATCTTGGACCGGACCTTTCAATATGTCTTCGAAATGCATGGTTTGCTATAAAAAGGGTCCACCTCTTTTTTCACCCGCGGGATTGCGGCGAGGAAAACCAATACCTCAATTAAAAAGTGAAAGGTTATCCACTGACTGCGTGAGTGGGTAGGTATAAGTGCGTCGCACAATCATTCGAAGGTTTAGATGCATCTCGAATCAGCCAAGGGAACGCGTCCCGACAAAAATCCAAAGCTTGCAAATGATCAGATCAGAAACTCACCGTGTACGCGTGCAAACAACTGCCAGGCCTCAGCAAAGACGGGATCTTCACCCTACTTTCCGTAACACATTAAAACAACATGGACGTGAACCCCTGTTTTCCTAATCTTTCGCAGGGGCCATGCCATCCATTCCGTTGGAGGTAGTGCCAATCTTGAGAAGTGGTACTCTTGAGATCCTACGGATTCCTACCCACGTTTAAGGATGTTCAAGGATCTTTCATTGCCAAACTGGTCAGTTCTCGGTGAAAATTGGCCCTTCCAGATGAGATTCACCTCCCCGGCCCGCACGGTTCCAAGCTGGGAGGTGGTGAGAGGCTGATCACGTGGACCACCAAACTAGAGTGGCGCCAGGCCCCCGATTGAGGATGGCCATGTTCTTCGTGACCAAACATGGTGATCTTCCACTTCCTTCGTGCTTCCTCAGCGTGTGCGGGGTTCAAACCTCCCGTCTCAAGGTTCTTCACCAGCCAAAATGCCAGCCATATGAGAGCGTGGTGGGCGATTGGCCGGCATCCTTGTGGAAGGTCCGCGGCTTGCTACCACCAGGGCAGTGCCCCCAAAGAATCACATCGAAGGGTGGGATGCTGCCTACCTGGGCAACGCACGTGTTTCGTCATCCATGGCACCTGCTTAGGCTTGGCATAGGGGTGCAAATAGATAGGGTAGGGGTTACCTAGGCAATTTCTTCAGGGGACTTTCAATATAGGGGGTAAGCAAGATAGAATCGGGTCATGGTTCTTGCTCCATGCTAAAGGAACGACATCAGTAGTTCTCTCCGTGTGTTGTGTGTGTGTCTTTGCCTGCAAGTTTCAAAAAAGAACACCCCTTTCCATGCCCTCAAGATAAAGCCTCAACAATGGCTTGACTGTTGAAACCATGAGTGAGGACAAATCGATTCATTTTTGTGGAAAGTGACCCCAGATTAATTACTGCCCAAGAAAAAACCAATGAAACAGAATTATATGATTATACGTTGGTTGAAAGAAAGGCACACTGTCTTTAGTTGTTGCCTTACCTTAGCTAGTCATTGCTTTTCTTCGAAGAGTTCTGGGACATCATTAAAAAACCGGACACTCCCAATTTGGGGGTCGTTATTCCATGTTGTGTTCAGTTTCGTTTTGAAATCCCCAAAACGACGTCCCCGCGATGTTCGAAGATCTCGACCTCTTATATGGTAGGTCGATCTACACAAATGTAAGTGATGTACAGTGTCTTAGAGGGATTTGATATTCGCGGTTGTGAATCAAACGCTGTATGTATATATACGTATAAATGCTAGAAACTATGCTATAATTATAGGATAGTATTGGTGTGTGAAGCCTACCTTGAGAATACCCATCTCGCTGTCATATCATGTCATATCTGCCTCATGATGAGATAGTTCCCGTACCCCACTGCAACATCACCTGGGTTGTATTTAACATAGTTCAATAGTTCATACTAACCTCAAACCATTTTTTCACCCCCAAGCCCAACCGCCCAACAGCAGCAGTGGCGGCGGCGGCTGCTGCTGCGGCCGCTGCCACCATCCAGGGCCGCCTTCAAACAATCAAGGTGGGGATGGCATGGATTGAGTTGGGAGGACTGGTTGAGGGTGAAGGATTGTGATGGTTGGACCTATCGATGGTTTCAGATAATTCATGAATCAAAATGTTTTGCTATGGAACATGTACTCTTGAACATGGGAGGTTCACTCAAAACCTTGGAACAAGGGATCCGTTCCATACCCTATGCGCCCTATGGAACAGGAAGGTGCATGATGTTCACCTGAGACCTGGGGTTTTGAGGCGCACCCATATTCTATTCTCCACCCACTTGGGGGATGATTGAACCTTTTTTCTTAGTTCTCCACCGGAGGTGCCAGGCACCATGTCATCTGTCAGCACGCAGACTGAATTAAAGGTTTCTGTGATTGCTCCACAGCCTCTAAGCCATGGCATGGCTTTCAAGCATCATGGCATGGTATCACATGGCTCTCAAGCCAAATATCACACCATGGCATGGAATCACTGCACTTTCAAGGCAACATGGCATGGAATCACTGCACTTTCAATCCAAATATCACACCATGGCATGGAATCACTGCACTTCCAAGCCAAATATCATGACATGGCATGGAATCACTGCACTTTCAAGCCAAATATCACACCATGGCATTGAATCATGCAAGCATGACATCCACCTACTCTCCATCACCTGTGATCTTGAAGCCATGAGACGCTACAACCCGTATGTGCATGGCAAGGAGGATGATCATGGCAAGGTGGATGATAGGAAACCGTGACTTGCAAGAATTTTCAGATTGTACGTTTTTCTATTTTTGCTCAATTTGGGGTGAGTTGAATTTTGGGAACCACCCCCAGGGAAGATTGTATGTGTTTTCTATTTTGCTCAATTTGTTTCTTTTCATTTTGATTGTGAAGGGTGAGTTGAATTTTGGGAACCACCCAGGGAAGATTGTATGTTTTTTCTATGTTTGCTCAATTTAGTTCTTTTCATTTTGATTGTATGGGGTGAGTTGAATTTTGGGAACCACCCAGGGAAGATTGTATGCTTTTTCTATGTTTGCTCAATTTGTCTCTTCAATTTGATTATATGGGGTGAGTTGAATTTTTGGAACCACACCCAGGGAAGAACCTCGCAATCCTCCTCGTCGCCCTGTGTTTGATCCCTTGGTTCCTGCAAAGAAGATTGGGGTGACGACATCAGAACGGCCCCTTGACCTGGCATGGAAGAGTGTTTTGGATTTGTTTTGGGTTTCCTTTGTGTTTGAGTTTGGGTATGTTTGATCATACTTTGGATTGGATGTGTCATGTTTGTTTCATTTTGTTTGGTCAGCCTTTTGGTTTGAGTTCAGTTGAGGTGGTGGAGGCATGGTGGTGAGGAAGTGCAGGGCAGCCGGTATCGGGGGCATGTGAGCTGCCAAACCACGTTCAGTGCCTTCATGCCTGGAGATGGGGTGACCTTTCAGCCACAGAGTCAGAGTCACCTAGATGATCTTAGTCTTGTTTTGTTGATATTTGTTGTTTGATCTGGATGCTTTGGTTTTGTGAGTTTGTTCTTGAAGTTTTGTTTTTTTGTAGCTCTGTTTAATAGGTTGTTTGTTTGTGTGTTTGTTTGTTGATGATGTTGATGCTCCAGGCAATACATGGGAGTGCAGCAAGGAAGATCCAAAGAGCAGCTCAGATGGCGAGGTCTTTGCCATTGAAGCTTGGCCTTCATGGAAGTTTGTTTAACTTTTGCTGAGGGAAGGTTTTAATGTTTAGGTTTTGGTCCTTGTGTTTTGTATTGCTGGGCCTGTTTGTTCCTGGTTTTGAGCCAGTTTGGGCGAGTTTGGGTCAGGAGAACTTGACGGTGTCAGTGGCTGCCAATGGTTCTGAAGAGGTGTGCGGTAAGGCCTTGATGAATGTGACTTGGTTGGATGATTGAAGTCATATTTTCATTTTGTTCTGATGCTTTGATTGTGCTTTGATTGTGCTTTTCATTTGTATCCTTAACCTCAAGGTTAAAAGCACTAGCAAAGTTGCACACAGCTTTCTGACATAGCATTTTGGCTAATGAAAACCTTGATCATCTGAGGCTCAGGATATCATGACTATGGGCAAGGAGGAGTGCATGTCAAATCTGGAGATCGCGATGGCTGTCTTCGACCAGCTGAGAGGACCAGTGCTTGGAGCACGCCTGAGTGCCACTTGGCTGTAGTTTGCACATTCGCTGTGTGCAGCACCTTTTGATATTTGTCAGCTTGCCTTCATAGAGCCTTTCTCTCACCGTCTGACTGCAAGAGTATACGATAGAGTCTTGTAGCCCAGGATTGGGTGGATGAGATGAACATCAGCCAGGAGGAGCAGGAGGAGGAGGAAGGTAGATCTTCGTCATCCAAAGGCATCCGCTGATCTTGTTCATGGATCCATAGGTGTTGGCATTTGCTCACCTTCTTTGGTTGATTGACCTGACACCTCAGAACTTCTGAGATAAAGAGTTCACTGCTTGCTCCTGGAAGGTGAGCCAGTGCATGCATGGGGACTGTGGCCAAAGTGCCTGCCTGATATTGTTTGATCATTTTGGTGATCCCATAGGTTGGCATTGGCTCAAAGTTGAACGGATTGTTGGATATTGGCTGGATTATTGATACGGTTTGTTGAATTTACCTTTACAGTGAAATGAGCCTGGTGAGCAAATGAACCCTGGTGAGCAGCTGAACGGGGATCACACTGGCAGTGTGTTGGGCAAAGAGCCTGATCATGATCGAGCGACAAATGGTGGGGTGGAGGAGGGGAGGAGGGCATTGGGCACAGCTTTTCCTTGGGAGGTCTGTAGATCACAACTGCAGTCTCTAGCACCTTTGTTGTGCAAGAAGCCTCCGAAAGATCAAGATCCTCTTAGTCTTTCTCATGGTTCTCAAACCACTTCACTGAGAGGTCCTTGAATTTGCTCCTCAGATGGTCCAAGTGCAGTAGCTTCCCACTTTGCAGCTAACAAGCAATGCATTGGTCTTTTTTTTCTCCCATTTTTTTGCTCTCATGGGAGTTCAGAACGGCCCGCATCGGAAATAAAGCTGGGCATCCTGGTAGCCCACTCTTTGTTGGCCTTTGGCATTTTGAGCCTTTCAATAAGATCACCTGGAGCAAATGCACCCGCCGCCAATTCACGGTCAGTGCTGTAGCGGTCATGAGCTTCAGTGGACTCCAAGAAGTGGTTCTGTCAACTCATCCAGGCAATCCACATGCACATGCATTGGGTCTTCCTTGGTGCAGCCTCACCGGATGCTTCCATTGTAGGTGGTGTGCCGTACGGCCTAGCACCTGCATCTCCAGAATCATAGTGGGCTTCAAAGCGGTGGCACCATGTCCTTGCCCTGGAAGCTGTTCTGGTCCCCTGGACTCAAGTTTGGACCACAAGCGATGAAGAAGCAACGTCCTTGACATCTCTTGCTTCATTTGCAGGGCTGTTCAGTGATCGAAGCTCCACAATGGTGTTGTAGGCCAGACATGCCTCACTTCATCAGGCCCTTCTCTTTCCATTCAGAGGATCTGCAATGCGGCAGCATCCTGATGTACTGCACCTCTAAGGGTGTTTCTGGATCTTGCAGGACTCTGACGGATGCCCTTCAACACTCCCAACTCCCACAACTCTCACGACTCCCAACTCCCACAACACTCCCCAATGGGATGACTTGCACCTCCTGCCAGGTCCGCTGCTTTGGCCTTGCCACTGGCTTGGTGGCCCAAGTGTGGATGGGAGAGCGGGTGATATGTTTTCTAGGTGGTGGTATTTTTCTAGGTGGTACCCTTGGGATAATTGAATCCACTTGAAACCATCCGTCGACCGGTTCATTCATGAATCTGATGATAGGGCCATGGCATGATTTAACATCTTGTGGCCAATAATCAGCATCCATCAAATCATGAAAGGTAGCTTGAGCTACCGTTCTCCTTGCTTTAGCAAAAAATGTATTTGAATCAGGAGTTGGGATTGTGCATTGAGTTTGGTCCTGTAAGAGTTGATTCCCCCCCCTGGGTCAAATCCCCCTGCGCCGGTTCACGCCGTCATGAACTTCTACCAGGGTTACTTGTGATTGCCCGCTACCTT